CCCCAAAACCCCAAAACCCCAAAACCCCAAAACCCCAAAACCCCAAAACCCCAAAACCCCAAAACCCCAAAACCCCATTCAAAAGCCATCAGGCTGAAATACACGTCAGATGATATTTAGCTAACTCTTACAATAATAATTATTATATCAAAGATGAAACTCTTGTTCGTCCTCTTCGTATTTGGTATTGCAACTGCAGTGCAAGTTGGAATCAGTGATGATATTACTGTTGGTGGATTATCCTCAGGTGCCTTCATGGCAGTCCAGACCCATGTGGCTTTATCCGAGACAGTCAAAGGAGCAGCAGTATTCGCTGGAGGCCCATACTTTTGTGCCATGGCTGATTTCGCCACTGCTAATACTAATTGCATGGCATTAGGAACTAATATTGATATCGACCACTTGATCTCGGTTATTAAAGATAATGAAGCTAAGGGGCTAGTAGACTCCTCTGAGAATTTGGCTGGTTCAAATGTATATGTTTTCTCAGGGACTAAGGACTACACAGTAAACCCAAAAGTTAATCAAAATACTCAGACATTTTATGAAAAATTAGGAGCTAATGTTGAGTCTCTATTCGATTTTGATGCTGCTCATACTATGCCAACAGAAGATTTTGGAGCGATTTGCACAGTATCCATGCCTCCTTACATCGGAAAATGTGGACTCAATGGAGCTCAGGCTTCGTTACAACACCTACATCAAGATAAGGTTTCAAACAAGCTAGGTGAGACAAGTGCATCAAACGTATTCTCTATTCCACAAAGCACAGATGGAACAGTGATGGGAGGGGAAGCTTTTGCTTACATTCCAACTGCCTGTCAGAGTGATGATGCAGATTGCTCATTGCACGTTGTATTTCACGGATGCTTACAGACTATCAAAGGTAAGTCACCGCTCTTCCTATTTTTCTCTAATACCATCAAGACTGGAAGCTATTATTCTGACTACATTAGATACCTCGATGGCTTATTCTAACCTTTCCTGTTTAGACATTCAGATGCAATATGTTGAAAGCACTGGGTATAATGAAGTTGCTGAAGCTAATGATATGGTAATTCTATATCCACAAGCTGTCTCTAAGAGCTCAGGTAATCCTTATGGATGCTGGGACTGGTGGGGTTTCATCAATAATGATTATGCAACCAACCAAGGCAAGCAGATTGCTGAGGTTAAGAGACTCATCGATCTTCTCAAGTCTGGAGATCTCAAGGAAGCTAAGCAAGTTTATCCAAGAGAAACCTTGAAGGAATAATCTAGCTTTTAGTTTTCAAAACTTATCCTACACATCATAACTCTTTTCTTAAGAATTTTAGGATAAAGATATTTTGATGTTCCTCAAGAATATCTGTACAATTCAACGATGAGGTTGTATATTGGGGTTTTGGGGTTTTGGGGTTTTGGGGTTTTGGGGTTTTGGGG